GTCCTACCTATCATGTGTAAATTATAAATACTTGTACGTACTCAAAAACATAAGTACAACCAAACAATGGAAAAACTCTGGGAACTTATTGAAAAACACGTAGCATCCATGGCGAATCACGCAATTCAACAAGGAATTTTGCGTAGATGTTGAAAAAAACGTGTTGCTAGGGTATAAAGCAATCTTACCACTGAAAACTAGATACGAGCCAACTAGCGAAAATGACTTGATGCTGAGAGGGTTGGATACTTATGAAAGAGTGTTGAATGCGCTGGATAAAGCTGTAACGAGGGCAGCGAATCCACCGGATGATGCTAACTTTATTCTTTTTGCTGTACGTTTTCACACATGTAATGTTATGCTATGCTATGTCACAATATCATAAGTTAACTTTAATATTTATTACAGTTACAAAGATTAAAGATTTTAGACCCTAAAACGCTCTTGACTGACCTCCAAAATGCGGTAACCAAATACTAGCAAATGCAAGAGAAGTATCAATTAGACCGCCGGATGATCCTATAAATATACTTTCTTCATCACCACAACCATCAACACCACCACCACCACCTCCTCCTCCTTCATCTCCAGGTTTTACTATTCGCGACGTTTATCAAGAGGCTGGACTCGAGCCGCCGAAAACAGTATTCGAAAAAGCGATCGACTGGCTGAATTCCGCTATTCGAAATGAACGCATAAAGCTATTCAATTATGCGGAATTCACAGAACTTATGGATATTGGTCATGGTGGATTCGGTGAAGTGAAACGCGCGTATTTGAATGGTTGTATGCGTTAAAGTCAATCAAACCACAAGAAGGAGCATCAAAGGAAGATATGGATATCCTAGTTCGTGAGGTATAAAACTTGATTCATCTCTCTGTGTAATGATTCGAAAGATATCTACATTTCAATGACTATTCATCATTTAATTCTAGATTAAAATGTTGCACACATTAAATTATCATGATAATGTTATTCGATTTCACGGAGTTTCTTACAGTAATTACAGTATATTGCTAGTTATTTCTTCTATTGATCGATCACAAATTTGTACGAAGTATTGATTTAGATATCAATGTTCGGTTACTTCATAAAAATAGACGCAGCTCAACAAACACATTACTTAGTAATGCAATACGCCAACGGTGGTACTCTTCGATCATATCTGCGTATGAATTTTGATAGCCTTACGTGGCAAGATAAGCGACGAATCGCCGAAGAAATAGCAAATGGATTATATTGTATTCATAGAGAA